ACGAGGTGTGCTAAAATAAAATGTCTGCTATTACCAACGTACTTTGATCAAGAATGGAAATATGTTATATTTTAAGGAATCCACGTAAATTTTTTCAACTTTTATTTGTTACTTTTCGGTAGAAATCTGCATGGCATCGGTAGGTTCGTTGACAAATCGATAGATCTACCAAAAAATCGGTAGACTTGGCATCTCTGATTGGAACACCGGGCGAAAGTTGATAACGCGAGTCATTAGAACACGGTTGCCATATCCGTACAAGGTTTAACTAATCCGCCGCTGAATTTCAACGGTGCATACCAGCTGGGTTCTTAAACCGGATTAATTTTTAAACGCGTTTAGTTGATCGCGATTAGGTAGCTTGGCGGTGCATACGGCGGTTAGTCGGAAAGCACGGGAGATCACTTCGCCCACTGCCTCATTGCCTTTGATAATGTCCCCCGCAGTTGTGGACGAAACGTCAGGAAGAAATTCCGATAGGCCACTGCTTCAAAACCCGGAAAACATTCCTAAATGTGATTTAACCGGTCGTGAAAGCCTTCATAGTCTGATAAAACGCAAAAATACGTGGCAACACCGCATTGTGTTGAATGCCCGAAAGTGACAAATAATCCGCCATCTGACCATCTACGTTACGTTATCTATTTTAGAAACGATGGATAGATGCGATAGAAATTTTTGCATGTAGAGTTATGAACTACATTATATACAGGGTTGCTCATTAGTGCGTCAAAGTGCGATATCTCAGTAAATATGAAGTTTACAAGAAAATTCGTCCAACGAAAGTTTTTCACGTTTAAAAGGTCCACATTCTAAAATTACTTTCCAATATACAGGGTGCATCATAAACGTGTGGTAGTTACCAACTCTGGTTTTTTAAATGAAACCCCCCCTTTTTTTTGTTATTTTCAGATTGGCCGTTTCAACCGTTTTACCTGAAAAATTTACGATTTCCGAGTTATTCGTAAAAATGTGAAAGTTTTGACAGCTACTGGGTTCCACAGAAATCGATGCTGTACACTACCCGCTGCGAATTTTGGAAAACAGTTTTCAGCGATTCTAACAGAACATCATGATCTACGCGTAGATATGTTT